CGAGCGCTTCCACCAGGATATACTAGACTTTGAACGCCGCTACCAAGGACAGTATAACGAGAACATGATGGGAAACTAAATTTGGGGGCTGATTCGTGAAAGTGATTTACAGTATAAGAAAAAAAGCTCGAAAAACTATTAACTTCTGAATCTTTTGTAGTCATTTTTTATTACTTTAGTATAATTACATGTTAATTTTGATTCATATGTTTTTTTTCTGACTTTATGTGAACGAAAAGACACAAATTCGCCTGTTTTCTGATTGAAAATAGGTCAATTCCAAAAAATCACTGTCCTGGTCACAAAGCAGAGTTTGTGGGGAATAATAGCCATTATCTATACTTTTGAGGCATAAGCAATTACGAAATAACACTTACTACCCAGGAAGAAAATGTGTGTTCCATAGTGTAATAAATGAGTGTTAACATTGTTTAAAGCAATATGCTCACAAAAGCAATATTGCTGAGGTCAAAGGGTCAGAAGGTGAAGGCGCAGCCCTGCAATTGATCACGCAACTGCTGTCGGAATAGCCTCCACTCGATGGCATTCTAGAGAGCCTCTCTAGAGGCTATTTGGCCTACTCTTTCACCATAAAGGGGTGTTATGAATATATAATATTAATACCAAAACGTACAGCCCTTTGTCAATAAATTTCTGGATTGGAGTCCTCCCAACGCAGTGTCAGTTATCGGAGTTGTTTAATCATACTTCACCAAGCTGGTTAGTGCGGTTTTCTGCAGGTGGAGAGGGGGGGCCCGGAGTCGATTCAACTACTCAAGGAGAGGGAATGGTCGGGAGGGGGGGGGGGGGTCAATCGGCCCCATCGCCACCCCGTCGCCCCCACCTCCTGGATCCGATGATGTTAGCCGTGTTCGGAAAAAGGAACTCGCGTTGCTAGATTCATACCGCACTGCGCTAACCACTGCGTCACACGTCCACCTAGCACAGACCCAGGCACGGTGGAAAATGCGAGGCTATTGCAAGGCACAATTGTTCACCTGGCACCGCCAAATGCTGACACAGCGGACATCTTATTCCTGTTGTGACCCCCACCTCGTGGTTAATAACAATAGAATGCAACAACAACAACAAAAACATTATCCAATGTTGGACAGAAAGACACCGAGGCCGTGCGTCCGTGTCTCTCTAAGATTGAAGCTTCACTCGCAAGGACAAAGACTCCACGTTTATGTTGAGCCCGCTTCATCATAACGCTGCACTGACGTCACTTTACATCACTGCATTGACGTTGGTAGTAAAACCTCAGCGGTTGACGATACAATGATGTGACTGCGGAGGCAAATGGCACTTGAACGTAAAATGTTAAGTATTTTTTTTTCTAGTAATAGGGTTTACCCTTTTAACTGGCACAAAAAACTGACACCTTTATTCAAGGCATCATGTCTGCAATAACCACAACACAAGCAGTCAAAATGCAAACAAAAAAGACAACTCTGATAATAATATGCACTGTCCTTGAATTTGATTGGTCTACACCCGAGACGGTTTTCTATAGAGCCTAATGTCCACTGGTGTTGGACCAGAAGACACCAAAAGGCGTACAACTCAAACACAGCACACTATCAGAGATGCCTTGAATAAAGGTGTCAGTTTTTTGTGCCAGTTAAAAGGGTAAAACCTATTACTATATCTTGTTACTGGCAAAGGAGGTCTCATAATATTTTTTTTCCTGATTAACTGAGACATACTGCCCAGGTGCGTATCTTACAAGGTAAAGGCTACTTCGCGGTTATAGATTGCGATGTACATATGTGCATATGACCTGGTATGACATGTGAATCAGACACGTGGTCAATGACAAATGCAAGTGAACGAAAGATAAAAAAGTGCGCAACGAAGCATAATGAACATATATGTTTTTTTTTTAAACCCAGGTGAGAATGCAAGATGCACGCTTGGAATTTACAACGAGAAACGTGAAAGAAGAACACGTGGATTCGAGAGGGCACGCAGGTCAAGGGACCTCGTATGGATAGAGTAAAAAAAAAAAAGTGAGTGTGGCTTTGGACAGGAAACACGCGGCTACAACGAATGAACGACGGCTGCTGGTCGAGGTCGAGACTCAGGCGGGAGTGGCAGCCAAAGGAGCGATCGCGCCCGCGAGAACAACGTCCACCCTAGCATCGCGAGACCGTGAGAGACGAGCGACGGCTCGGGGAGTCCTTCATCCAGCAGTGGATTGATCATGCCCGCCGCTGCCGATGATGCTAATGATGGGTCGTCGTTCAAGGTCTGTCCCGTCGTGAGAGCGCAAGCACTCCGCGAGCTCATCCGGGATCGGTTGCTCCCTGTTTGAACCGGCGTTGAATATCGAACAGGGACGCGTCACACGCAGCATTCGGTACCGTCACCGAAGTACCAAATCGATGCAGTCGTTTGGGTCGAAGGCGAGAGAACCTGAGAGAGTGTGGAACGATCGAGTGATGGGTTTGTACCGGCCACCCTACCTACCTACCTACCATCGCACAAGCCGGACTCATTAGTACAGAGAGGCTACATTATAGGCTTTGTAAAGTTTAATACTACGAATTAATTATCATACACGGAGTGATGGGTTTGTACCGGCCACCCTACCTACCTACCTACCATCGCACAAGCCGGACTCATTAGTACAGAGAGGCTACATTATAGGCTTTGTAAAGTTTAATACTACGAATTAATTATCATACACGGAGTGATGGGTTTGTACCGGCCACCCTACCTACCTACCTACCATCGCACAAGCCGGACTAATTAGTACAGAGAGGCTACATTATAGGCTTTGTAAAGTTTAACACTACGAATGCATTATCATCCACGGTCCATCCACGGTCAATCCACTGCTGAATAAATGATTCTTAAGCCCCGTGCCATCTTTCACAATCCTGCGACGTGACGATCCACGCAGCACGCGGCACGCGAGCCGGTCTCATCGCTTCTCCATCTGCTCGTTGGACGTCTTCACGGAGGTCACGATTAAATAGAAAGTATGCACGTGCACAAGATGATCTCACTGGATCGTTATCCGCGATCTATCCACCTCCAAAGGTGAGGCCTCACCAACGGAACAATCCACACCCGGCACCAGCAAACGAGCTGATTCATCGCTCCGTCTACCCGGTGGATGGCACCTCGCGGAGGTGTTCCACCACCTTGCCTGCCACTCACGTGCCTCGACGTATGTATGTTGTATGCATGTTGAACTTCTTTCGCGTCGTACGTAGCAAGCCGTGCTACTCGGAGGTGCGGGGGAAGGACAACACACTAAATACAAAAATGCAGTTTTAAATAAATGAGTTTTCAAGCTAGAAGGTTTAAAAGTGCACAGTTCCAGCGGCTTCCTAATATCGGAAGGAAGAGCGTTCCAGACGGCCGCAGGAGCGCGTCTGAAAGCGCCGCGATGCGGTGACCAGCGTCTTGGTTCGATGGCTTGCAGCCAAAAGCCGCTGCTGCGAGGATGACCACCGTAGTTCGCGCGATAGTTCATGCTCCTTGATGATATCGTTAAGGGGCCGTCCATAAATGACGTCACGCGATTTTGGACGATTTTTGACCCCCCCCCCACCCACCTTCGTCACACGGCGTCACAAAAAGTCAGAAACACCACACATATGACGTCACAAAGCTCTCCCCCCCTCCCCCCCAAAACCTTATTTCCATTTTGAAAATAAAACATGCTTCAAATCGCTTTAAACTATTAGCATTGTGGTTGCGTATTTAATGTGGCGCTGCACTCTGATCTTGTAGGAGTGTTGTTATAACAGTTAGTGTTGTTATAACAATTCTATATTTATTTAAAGTTGCGCATTTTGATGTGACGTCACATTTCTCAAACCCCCCCCCCCTCCCTCGTCACACACGACTGCTTCCCCCACACAAATCTGGTCTCTGACACTACAGTATAAAAATCTGGTTTCGCTCACACCCACACGTCTGCTGCATTATGAGACGCACCAACAACTTTTGCTTTAATCTACAAAAGTAAGTCTTATAAACCGGAGAATATGGTAACCCTGCCGATGCACACACGTACAGATTCACCAAATAGAATACGTGTCTGTGCATCTGGGTATAATGGCTATCGCAGCTGTGATCTCATTTCAGCAGTAGTACCATAGCAGCTGAACTACAAAGGACCTTCTTCTGCTGCAGTGCGTTCTCAACTTCCATTGTCCCAAGTTGCCAAGAACATTATTTTCTGAGCACTCTACAAGCTCTTCCTGAAATTGCCCCGTCCCTGCGCGTAGTCCACATTTGGCCCAGCTGTTTAACCACCGCCAGTCAAAAAAAAAACCCCACAGTGGCCCCGCTGCGACCTTGGCACCAAAAATGTTTGTCCTTGAGACTTGAGCGAACATTCGCCACGTGAAGACGGAACGTCCACGGCGTGGTGGGCAGCAGCGAGCTAAGAACTCACTGCTGCGCAACCGCCAATCGTGTGCGGGAAAATCAAAGGCAAAGCTGCTCCGTGCAGTCTTTAATGTACCGTCGGGGCAAGCGCTGTTAGCGAGCACCTATTAACACACTGATCCTCAGAGCCCCTTGCAATGGTTTGCCATGCTACACCGCTAGAGACATTGTCGTTATGAAAGACAAATAATGGCACAGGCCGGGACAGATTGTGTGTGTGTGTGTGCTATTGAGGGCACAATGTGCATCACAACCCTGATTGTGATGCGCAGGGTGCCACGTGGATGCTGGAAGACCTCCTCAATGCCGAGGCCTGGAATCAAACCTAGATCCTCGATGAGCAACTCATCACAGAAGCCCACATATACAACTTATTTGGTGACAATGCGTTGGCGGTGGCACACGAGCACACATCATAATAATAATAAACTCAACACATTTGCCAATAACACCGTGACCATAAAATAAAAAAAAATACACATCGAGGGAAATTTCACGGCAACCGCCCATCCTCATATCCCACATTCGTGCTTGCAATCAGTTAAAAATATGGCAAAGATCTACTCTCATAAATGAAATAATTTACTTACATTCAGGCGAGACCCCACGCTGCCGGAATCTCCCGCCAGGGGTGGCACGAGGCAAAGAAACATCCCAAGCGACCCAAACGGCGCGTGGGTCCCCAGACAAATGAAACGATAGGGATGCACTAAATAGCGGCTCGAATTCAGATCTCAATAAACATGAATGAAAAACAATTTATCTTCATCTTTCTCTATCTTGTTTGCAAATATCGCCTCATCTTAGCATATCTCTGTCTCTTGTTTACATCTTTCGATTTACTGTTATTTTTGTCTCATCTGTATCACTCTTCCTGACATCTCATTTACACCTGTATCTTCTTCATGCCGCATTTCTCACATCTCGCCAAATCCCGATCTCTATATCTCTTCCACGGGGAGTCTATACGAATTGAAGGGGGGAGGGGAGGGGGGAGAAGTGGGGAGAAAATCTATATTTATACGGGCACCGAATGGGTCAGCGCCACAACCGTGTATCGCTACACAGAGAACCGGGCGAATAGCGCGAGCAATATGCTAACCACACATGAGCACGAGATAGACCGTACTTGTAAAAAGCGCAATCAATCATCACATGCATACCCGCACGAACTCCGCGCCTCAATCTTGATCAATGTGTCCACGGAAGTGAAATATTACTGAGCCGCGTGACTTTTAATTCCCCAGGGAGGGTCCCAGCTCTTATTCCGCCATCGGGGCTTACTGTTATAAGCGCCACGAGGGCTTTCCACCTCACACGGACGTAATCCTCGCCCTGACCCTCGCCTATCTCAAGCCTCTTCTCATCCCCATCTCGGGACCTAAGCGGGGTTTGTGTCTCTGTCCAATTCAGTACCTTGCGCGAGCCGCGGCTATTGCCACTGCTCAGGGCTTACATTTTCACTGAACACGTCCTGGGTCGTTGCCAGATTGGATGGAGTAGGTGGCATCGTAACTAGTGCCCACAGGCACAAATGGTGTGTATGGCTGATGAGGTGTGCCGGGTTTACAAACATTTTGCGGGACGTTGGCCCTGCTATGACTACATCCAAAAATGATGTCTGTTCCCGGCACGCCACACATGAGATGGAGCGATGAAATAAATAATTGTACGGGTTATTGGTGGGTTATTACATCGCTAAGATCGTGAGTGGTGGTGGTGGTGGCTTTCATCCAGCAGTGGATTGAACATGGCTTATGATGATGATCACAACAGCCGATGGAGAGACAATACCAGTGTGGACAAGTGGCCAAATGTCCTCAGTAGAGGGCACCCTGCCTTATTCCCCTTGCCCAGCACTGTGATAGAGGAGGGCATTGGGTTCTGTGATATGACTTCAAGTCTTAACCGAGGTTGAATATTCGCATAGCCCTTCGATGCAATACATAGATTCACGCGGACGTATACATACATACATACTGCCCTTATGTCGATCCATTCTTGGATGAGGGCCACCCCACGCTGAGAGGCTCATGGGGGCTATTCAACGATACTTTACCACGAATGGAAAAATGCCGGGGTGCATAGACGCCGGGACATAGCACGGCACAACAATGTACGTCTGTTTCTGCACCGTCGTCTGATGCAGAGCACGTAGCCTCGCGGCTTATAGCAACTTAAATTTCGATTTAAAGCTTTCGTGACTGCAATGATTCATCTTCTTTGGTTCTTTCGGTAAAGTCACGTAGAATGAGAATAAAATAATAAATTGATAAAATAAAATAACACAATAATATTCTCACGACGTTTCGGCCACAACACAAGCGGCCTTCATCAGGTGAAGGGGGGCGAGACTGTCTGGTAGGACAGCGCTGGAGTGAGAGAGCCACGTTCAGATCACGGCTTTTAAGCTGTGTGAGAGGAACAAAGAGCCTTGACACAGGAATTAGCATAAAATTTAGCATTGAAATGGCTGAATGATTAGCTTGTGACTGGTCACAGAAATAGCTATGTTAAAAGTTAAAGCATACACATCCGCAGAGGCACCCATTGTTAAATGTGTATGCTTTAACTTTTAACATAGCTATTTCTGTGACCAGTCACAAGCTAATCATTCAGCCATTTCAATGCTAAATTTTATGCTAATTCCTGTGTCAAGGCTCTTTGTTCCTCTCACACAGCTTAAAAGCCGTGATCTGAACGTGGCTCTCTCACTCCAGCGCTGTCCTACCAGACAGTCTCGCCCCCCTTCACCTGATGAAGGCCGCTTGTGTTGTGGCCGAAACGTCGTGAGAATATTATTGTGTTATTTTATTTTATCAATTTATTATTTTATTATAGCAACTTGTTTACGCATGGTGTTGTTCGCCCATCCAGTCACTATCCAGTCTCACACCTGCTGAGCTTCCGATATCTGACAAGATCGGGCGCATTCAGGATAAGATTACCTTTATTCATGAGCCAATTGAGTATTTTCTTTTTACAAGGGAGATCTGGGATTAAAATTACGAGCAGCACACATGTTGAACTGTATATCAATAAATTAACTGTCTTGGCCAAATTCCGCCTTTGCGTTAATAGCGTGTTAAATGCAATTCTCAGACTCTTCGGGTGCCTCAATTACTGTTGCATAAATGTCACTGGCTATATCCACATTTCCTTTGACCAACGCACTCCGCGGGATGCTCCCGATCTCGTCAAGCTCTCAGAAGCTAAGCAGGTTGGAGCCTGGTCGCTGCTAGGCCGTGCGAGCACCCTGCATGAAACAGGCGCTGCAGACCGTTGCGGAACTACGTTGTCAGCAGAGGGGCAGTGCGGGGAAAAATCAATTGTTGTACTATACTACACTAGTCTATGATCCCTGCCATCCCACACTGGCCAGCGTGCTGAAGTATGGCCAATTAACCGCCCCCCCCCCCCCCCCCCCCCCCAACGACTCTCGCAGGTACAGGGAGGCCAGAATCTAAAGATGGACTGACAAACGAGGCTACGTGTGTATGCATGCCGAGAGCACACGTGTCCAAGCACGACCACATACAAGCGCACCCTAAGTTGTCACGGAACAAAAAGGGACACCGTTTATGTGACAGCGAACGGCGCAATCACCGACGTCGTCGGCACATCGCATCATCAGCCGTCCCAAGCGTTGCACACGAAGCCGAGGCCGCAGGTGCAGGGCACGAGAGTGGCCCTACGGATCAGTGGCTACAAGACCTGGGTGCCGGAGAATTCCGATGCCAGGGAGGAGGGGGTGGGGGGTCGTCACTTTGTCGTCCCCGCGATGTTGACGGTTCCCGCTCCGCAAGCGAGTGCCACGCGAGTGACGGGGCCCGAATGGCGAGAGAGACGTTTTGTTTCGATTTCAAGCTTTCGTGACTGCAAGGATTCATCTTCTTTGGTTCTTTCGGTAAAGTCACACAAGCTTAAAGGTCGTGATCTGAGCGTGGCTTTTTCACTCCAGCGCTGTCCTCCAGACAGTCTCGTCCCTTCACCTGATGAAGGCCGCTTGTGTTGTGGCCGAAACGTCGTGAGAATATTATTGTGTTATTTTATTTTATCAATTTATTATTTTATTCTCATTCTACGTGACTTTACCGAAAGAACCAAAGAAGACGTTTTGTTGTTAAGAAGCCGAAGTACCCCTAGCCGCGACAAAACTGTTTGTGCTCACACGCGCAGCATAACAAAGACAAAGATCCACCCCCCCCCGTATAGCCTTAACAGAGTGTTGGGGCAAGTGCTGTTAGAGAGCGTCTATGAAGGCCGGCATGGCACACGAGGGGTGGGTGGCCAACACCACGCTCGGCCGCCTTTGTCTTCCCCTAGTGGCCATGGACCGGTTCGGATAATCGTCACTGGTCTTGACCGTGGGTTTGAATAGATCTCGGGTCACCGGGTTCGTAGCACATAATATACGCACCCGCACAGGGTTCTCGAACGCATGCTCTCACGTGTATGTATGTTGAACTTCTTTCGCACCGTGCGTAGCCAACCGAGCTAATCGGAGGTATATTTCACATATCAATAAATCTGAAAGGAAACAGCGGCTTCGGTTGCAGGAATTTGCCACTTAATTTTTTACAAAGCATTTTTTGTGAATGCCGGGGGTTTTATTATATTTTTGTGTGTGGCCGCTCAGCCACCCAACAGGGCCACCCAACCAGACGTAAAAAAAAGCTCAAATTGTGTTTCATTTTGCTCTCCCCCCCCCCCCCCCCCTAAGACAGAATCAGAGACCGCTGTCCCGTTGCACCAGAGGTAATTTGAATTAATAAAAGCCGCGGCTAATGTGAAAACCCTATTGTCCGTACGCATGCAATGCACAATGCAATTAAGCGACTAAAATGTATCAATGAATTTCAAAGCCATCGTTATGATATGAATAATCTTCATCCTCATCATTATCGTGATCAATGCGTGGGGCACTCACAGTTTGCAGATCGCAGCGAGCAATTCTGCCTTGACGCAGAAGCTGAATGCTTTGCCTCCAAAAATCATTTAACTCTCCCTTGTTGGCTCCAGCCACATTCAGGGCGCTCTGCGAGGAGGCGAGCGAACGAGCAGACGACACGGAACGAATCCTCCAGCGTCCAGACGAGCGCCGTCCACCTCCATGCAGTGCGAGCGAGCGAGCGATGGCTGAGTGGAGTGAGTGTGATGCGAGCGAGAATGCGCAGCGCTCGCGCGCGTGTGTGTGGCTCTCTCTCTCTATTCAAAGCTCTCCCGTCTTACCGCCCAGCGGGATCTCCACGCGTGGTGCGAGTGTCTCCAACTGGGCTGTGCATGCGATCCCTCCGCTCAATGAACGTGCAAGAGCGCCGGGGATGAATGAATGAGAGACCCGCTACCCACGGTGATGCTGTGAAGCAATATTCGCAATATTGTAGGTTGTGTTTGTCGTGTGTATGTGCGATGATGCTGGAATCCGGCTAAACTTAGTTATATTGCTTCGGATAATTAGATTATTCACATAATCATCGTCATCTTCTCAATAATCCTCACCATCATCATTATAATATTGCTTCTCTTCGTTTGAATATAATATACTTGTCGTTTTCAGCTTAAGATTTTCATTGCCCTTTTTAACTATACGTATTAAATATTTTATATTGTTATTATTTTGAGCTTAATTGCCAAAGTCCTCTTTACGTTCGTCGAATATTGTCCGCGGAACTTTATTGCTTCTCTGTATCTCTCTACAATTGTACAATTTACCTCTGGTCGTTGTACGATTTATTATATTATTACCATCATCATGATCACTTGGCGTTAAAGTCTGATATTACATACATGTATAATGTTCAATCACAATCATCGTCCGCCTTAGGCTCTTCCATCCATTCGCCCTTCACTCTCTTCGCCACGGTCTTCCGTTACATCGCAACGCAGAGCGAGGCGACGTGCCCTCCTCCTCTCTCCCGCACGGCTTCTCGAGCGTCTCGCTCGCTGAGCGGTCGAGTGTCATCCTCACTTCGCGAGGTGCCGCCCCGCTCGTGCTTGTGTGTGCGTGTGGTCGGGGGGCTGATGTCGTCAATCGTGGCTCGGTGTGGCCTCGCGCAAGCCTGATATGGGTATCTGTGATATTGTACCGCTCCTGGTGGCTTGTGGTGGCTTAGTGTGGCGGGCTGTCGTCTGGTTTTGGGGTTGCGTTGTTTGATATGATCGGCTGTGGCTTAGTGTGGCGTGGCGCAGTCTGATATGGGATTGTGTGTATGTATGTATGTTGAACTTCTTTCGCACCGTACGTAGCCAACTGTGCTAATCGGAGGTCTGGGGGGAAGCACAACAAACTAAACACAAACACGCAGTTCTAAATAAATTCGTTTTCAATCTAGATGATTTCAAAGTGCATAGCTCCAGTGGCTTCCTAATATCGGAAAGGAAGAGCGTTCCAGACGGCCGCAGAAGCGCATCTGAAAGCGCGCTATGCGGTGACCGTCTTTTTGTGTGTGATATGACACACTCAGTGTGGGTTGTGGGTGGCTAAGTGTGGCGTGCTGTCGTCTGGTTGCGTTGCTTGATTATGATCCACTGTGGCTTAGTGTGGTCTGGTGTGTGGTTAGTGTGGTCTGGTGTGTGGTTGGTGTGGTCCGGTGTCGGCCGGTATCGGTCTGGTGTGGCTTCACGTGCGGTCTGGAATCGTTTTGGTGTGGTGTGCTCTTTCGTGTGTGTTGGTGTGCGGCGGTGAGGTAGTGGTCTGATGGGCGTTGGTGTGCTCCCATCTGTTCGAGGGCCCACGTAAATGAGTTACGGATCGTTTTACCCACGCAAATATCGTTTTCTTCATACCCTGGTGTCCGCCTTTACCCTCAACAGGAGACCAAAATCAATACATGCAATTTATATACTGTGCATGCACATCGTTGCACAATACATGCAGTAAGCCTCCAGACGCATATACGGAGATGTATATACATATACTTGCATGTATTTTAAATCAAGGGGCATCCGTTGAGACGTGCGTGACTCGTAAACACAGAGAGCCACTCATACGTAATGAGATAATACAATATGTTTATTGTACGTACGCACTGTACATGCAAATTACGAGCTGTGGTGCACGGGTTAGCACACTGCATTATGAGCCCTGCCACCTGAGTTCGATTCCCAGCTGTGGCTCACATCAGCGGTGAGTAATATCTCAACGGGTTCCTGTGCTTGCCTTCCACCAACACTGCAACTGCCCAGCGCGGTGAAGTATGGCGATAACCCCCATTGGGTCGACACGGCGTGGGGA